CATATTTACGTATAGAGACAGAGTAAAAGATAGACAGGCGAACATTAACTAGTTTGTCTTAATAAATACGGCAAACGTACAAGTGAGATAAACCTTCCAATTTTATTAGTTGTATGTATACAAGCAAGAGTAATGAATAGGCTGAGGGAATATAATAACGTAGATGCATACATAGAATATAATTTAATTATAGGTAGGCAGGTAACCTGTGTGTTGCTAAATCTCTCAAGTTATATGATAGATAGGATGAATATGCGCCAAGAAAAGATTCGATGGAGTGTGTAGACAGCGGTAACAATAAATATGAATCAATCAATACAAACTTGCGGGTGATATACTTTGGGGGTAGCGAACGGATATATTTACACATAACCATTCGCGGATGTGTGTGGGTGAGGAAAGCATGAGTACGAAGACCAAAGTAAAAAAGTGGGGGTGGAAGTGCGGCTGGAACGAGCTCAGGGGAAGAATGGAGAAGTGGAAGTGTGCGCAAGCAGCCAGGGGCAGAGGGGAGGTCAAAGGTCATGAACATAGGCTCAGCTGAAGCGACGCAAGTTCATGAATATAAAGGCAGGCGCAGAAGGATAATTAAAAATTAACACAATCAGCAACTAGCTAATCGGGAGGTAGCGAGTAGGGCTGTAAATGACTAAGACACCAAGTAACGACTGTCTTTCAAACTAGATTATATATTCATCCAACTGGCGCCTCAGACACTGTCTAACCTCTCTGATTGAACGTTCACATCCACACATTCTCTATTTTTATACTAGCTTCTAGCATGCAAACACGTTACCAATACTCTTATTCCTTAAATATTCTGGCCTACTACGTTCAAATTGCCCCCATGTGTGTATCCAAATTGATAACAAAGATGACTTTAAATTCCCTTATTTCTTAGGTTGCATTCCTATTTTACGAAAAGTTGTAAAGACATCATCATAGTAGCTGTGGTGATATGCTACCAAAAAGAGGGAGTAGTTGGCCATAAGATAGTCTAAAAATTAATAATATAGATTGAAACACTCTTGGCAATATCAGTAGTAGTCAATAGGTGTCATAGATATAAGCACCATTATTTTTGTTAAGGCTATGGCCTCAACCTTTGCAAATGTCGCAACAGTTGATAGAGTAAATTGTATCGGACATTGATGTATGAGAGGTATAAAGAATACGCAGGAAAGTAAGAGACAGGATATTCTGCAACTAATCAATCCAATTAAGTATTCTTAAATCCTCTTTGACAAATTGGACATATTCACTATTGATTTAATGTGTTTTCCAAGCATTCGATCACTTACCATTCCAGTCAATACCTACCCACAGTGAGATATGATAGTAGTGCCAATGAAACACAATTGAATGCATTAAGCTGAATGTCCAAAAGAGGAAAACGTAAGTGAAAGAAATAGTGCGGGACCCAACATTACCAGGTCAAATAAACGAAATCAATCAGAGTTTGTATAGGGGAAGGGTGAAAACGAGAACCCAGGAGGCCGCACCATCTTGGTACTCGCATCAAGTCGATGGATCAAATCCTATCTATAAAAATAGTGAAAGATGAGGGCGGCGAAATTATGGCAATGAGGAAAAAATTAGAAACTAGGAGCATATATAAAGCCGATTGATGAAGAGATCAGGGTGGTTGATTTCAGAAGTAAAAAAATGTATGGACGCATAAGGCAGGTAATTGCCTAACTATAATGGGTGGAGAAAGTATACCTTGCTATAGTGATGAGCATATTTTATATCGATAATCGAGTGATTAATTGTCTATACTATTATGTAGACCGAGAGCATCCATTGATAAGAAAGGTTCTCGGTAAAACTACACGTGGTTACATAGTACAGATCTAAGTAAGCAAATAATGGACTTGCGTGTAAGTGTCAATATGAATGAAATTTTAACAAGAAAAGTAAGCCATACAAAACGATTAATGGCAAGGCGGCATTTGGTCATGCTGCGAATCTCTAAATCCAATCAGAAGATTACAATCTAGGAAATGAAAATATATAGCCAATTTGAGTAAACAATTATATATAAATAAATCCAAGTAAATCTTCCCGCCAAAAATGACATCGTACTCACAGGTCAAAGAATGAAGCGAAAAGGAGGCAGAAATTGTAGGTCTTGCCAAACCAAAAAGAATGGCTAGAATAAAAAGAGAAATCAACTTGACAGTTGGACAACAGAGCCCAGAAGTTACAGGGAAAAGTTGAGGATAAAAGAAATCAAAGCGATCAGTTAGCTACATTCGGGTTTGAAAAAAATAGTCTTTATCTAAGAAAGTATATAGTTAAAATATATTGTGGTGGCCGCTGAAAAGTTTGTCTACACGTTTATTTATTTGGTACCCACGGGTTAGCCAACAAAAGGAACCTCAAATTCCTAGATTCCAACAAAATTGAGGAAAGTAATGCTTTGGTTATTGCATTATTAAATTAAAGCATTAAAAAGAGTGAACAAGCAACGGGTCACTAGGCATACAAATTTACATCCATCAGTTATATATATATATATATATATA